GGCACTGAAGCGAGGGGCGTGCGGCAAGCCGCTCGGCCCTCGCTATTCCCCCCCAATCTGGCACTGAAGCGAGGGGCGAGCGGGAAGCCGCTCGGCCCTCGCTGTTCCCCCTCCCTCAACCCAGAGTTTGCAGAGCGTTCCCTGCGCATGCGCAGGGGACGCTCTGTGAGTTTCGGGGGGATTTAAGTATCCCCCGATGTTTTTTTCCAGATTTAGGATTTTTGTGCACACGTGGGGACCGCCCCACGTGCGCACAAACCTCTCCCTCCCCCCCGGTCCCCCCAATGTGCGGATTTAAGTATCCGCACACCAGGGGGCGACTTGAGAATTAGATATATAGATGTTGAAGTTGAGTACCCTCCACAAAGCATTTATAGTAATGCTACCTGTTTCATTCAAAGAATCAGCTAGGGGGACTGAGTTCTGTGGATTAGATAACAGCATCAGGCTGGACGAACACTTTTCAGGGATGCTCTGTCTAGGCTGATCCTGCATTCAGTAGGGGGTTGGACTAGATGGCCTGAATGGCCCCTTCCAACTCTCCATAATGAGAGAAAGTATCTCTAAATACAACCTGCAGGGAACAAACAACTGGGGGAGAGCTGTTGTGTTCATGTTGGCTAATAGGTTTCCTGGAAGTATCCAGTTGGCCACTATTGGGAAACAGGATTCCAGATTAGATAGACCTTTGATCTGATTCTGCAAGACTCTTAATTGTATGTTGTCTGACATTCAGTGCTCTGCTTATTTGAACCGCTATATCAGATCTATCAAAATGTGCAACAACACTTAACAAGTATCTGCCTTATCTTCTTTCAGCTAGCTGTACTAACTGAATAACCACAAAGGTCTTCTGTCACTTGGAGGAGCAGATCTATAACAATGGTTTAATCAGATACTTCCATTTTAATAGGGAGTCAAATTTGAATTTGAGGAAGAAATTACGTGTTAAAACAGATCTTGAATTGTGGCAACTATGTGTGTTTGATTGTCTGCATCTAGCTTGACAATAAGAGGGCAAAGTATCTATTTATTTATGCTACTTATAATCCACCTTTCTCACAGGGACTCATGGGAGATTACACAGTACAGTCAACAAAATGGGACATTCAGTGCATTAGGATTGTTGAAGTCTCTGGAACCATCAGAAAAAACTGAAGCATAGCATAAGTATTAACATGAAACATGGTAGTAGTACAAAAATTACACAATAGGATCCTATTTACAGTAAGCTTTACACAGTAGTATAGACCACAATCCCTAATCCGCAGGGCCTGTAAGGCAAAGATGTTCCACCAGTCTTTTGGTTAAGGACAGCAATAGTTTTCATTCTAGCTGGCACCCGCTCCTTGCTCTCCAGACCTGCTCTGTTCCTCTTCCCCCATGCCCACGAGGTGGCTGGCAGTCCAGAATGGGAAGTAATGTGAAATCTGATTCTTTTAGATTTCTTTGTATTAGCACTGTTTATGTAGTTTATTCTATGGTCTTCAACGTTTTTATTGAATGTTGTACATTGCTCAGAGCCCTGCAGTAGCAAGGATTGGGCAATTCAAAAATTTAAAAATAATAATAATAATAATAATAATAATAATAATGCCAAATAAGTTTGTGAACCATTGTACAGTGCAACCGTATTACCTACACTACACAGAAAAGCCCGCTTGAATAATTCAATTTTGCGTAGTTTGAGGAAAGCCAGGAAAGTGGGAGCTTTCCTGACCACCTTGGGCAAGCCATTCCATAAGGTGGGAGCCACAATAGAGAAAGCATGTGGATGGGCAGTTGCAGATTTTGCCCGCTTGCAGGTTGGCAAGAAGCCTCTGCTGACATGAGTGAAGCTGTCTTGGTGGAGCGGAGGAGGAGAGGCAGTCCCACAGATAAGAGAGGAGGAGGACATGAAGGGCTTTGTATGTGATAGGCAATACTTTAAACCGAGTGCAGTAACAAATGGGCAGCCAATAGAGTGGTCCTTCACCAACCCTGCACAACTGGCTAGGGAAGAGGCATGGCTATTATCCCCTTTTCTAGATTCTCTCTTGTGTACTTTGAATAAATGCTTTTTTTTCATTTAAGTCAAAAGTGAGCTTTGTTTTCAGATGGGTCTAAGCAAGCTTGATTACTTTACATTATGGTTCTACTATTTTGATTAACTGACTATAAAACTAACAGTAGGGATTATGACAAATTCCAGACGAGTGGCTGTGTTACTCTGTTGTAGCCAAAACAATAAAGACCTTTTCCATACCTCAGTGTTGCCACTGTTTCCTGGTGAGTTGAATCGCCAGCTGATCCTCTGACTTTGCAGCACCCCTTCCACAAAAGGGCATTTTTTTGGGGGGGTTTTCTTAAATTCAAATCTGACCCTCCCCATGTGTTCCGCAGTTCCTTTGAAAAGGGGTTGTGCAGCTGTGTCGTCATACACTTTGTCAGTGATGGAACCTCCTTTTTTTGCACATGTGCAGTAACGTTATAACATCATAACATTGTGGCTAGCTATACCTTGTGGCTAATAGCCACTGATGGACCTCTGCTCCATATGCTTATCTAATTCCCTTTTGAAGCCGTCCATGCTTGTAGCACCCACCACTTCCTGTGGCAGTGAATTCCATGTGTTAATCACTCTTTGGGTGAAGAAGTACTTCCTTTTATCCGTTCTAACCCGACCGCTCTGCAGTTTCATGGAGTGCCCACGAGTTCTTGTATTGTGAGAAAGGGAGAAAAGTACCTCTTTCTTTACCTGCTCTTTCCCATGCATAATCTTATAAACCTCGATCATGTCACCCCTCAGTCGTCTTTTCTCCAAGCTAAAGAGCCCTAAGCGCTTTAACCTTTCCTCATAGGGAAAGTGTTCCAACCCTTTTATCATTCGAGTTGCCCTTTTCTGCACTTTTTCCAAAGCTATAATATCCTTTTTAAGGTGTGGTGCCCAGAACTGCACACAGTATTCCAAATGAGGTCTCACCATTGATTTATATAGGGGCATTATTATATTGGCTGATCTGTTTTCAATACCCTTCCTAATAATCCCCAGCATAGCATTGGCCTTCTTTATTGCAGTCACACACTGTCTCGACATTTTCAGTGAGTTATCCACTACAACTCCAAGATCTCTCTCTTGCTCAGTCTCTGCCAGTTCAGACCCCATCAATGTGTATTTATATTTAGGATTTTTGGCTCCAATGTGCATCACCTTGCACTTGGCCACATTGAACCCCATTTGCCATGTTGACGCCCACTCGCCCATCCTTGACAGATCCCCTTGGAGTGTCTCACAATCCTCACTGGTTTTCACCACCCTGAACAACTTTGTATCATCCGCAAATTTAGCCACTTCACTGCTTACTCCCATCTCCAAATCATTAATGAACAAGTTAAAAAGCAGTGGACCAAGTACTGATCCCTGCGGTACCCCACTGCTTACCACCCTCCACTGAGAAAATGTATCATGGGGAATGTATCATGGGGAACAGCATGGTTGCCACCATTTCAAAGATTGCTTGCTCCTCCTTAGTCACCAACTAAGAAAATGGCTGGCGATTGTTGAACTGGATACACCAATTCATAACAATCATAATGAAGCACACTAAATGTGTCATCATGTACTTTGTCAGCAATGGAACCTCCTTTTCTTTGCATATGCAGAAATGTTATAACATCATAACACTGTAAAAAAAGGCTGGATGTATTTCGGGGAACAGCATGGTTGCTGCCATTTCAAAGGCTCCTCCTTAGTCGCCAACTAAGATAATAGCCAGCAAAGATTCCCACAAAATCCTAATGAAAATAGTATTCTGTTCGCGATTGCTGAACTGGATACACCAATTCATAACAGTGCTATTCAATAATTATGAAGCACACTGTGTCCTCATGAACTTTGTCAGTGACAGAACCTCCTTTTTTTGCAGATGAAGTAATGTTATAACATCATAACATTGTAAACACACACACACACACCAGGAGCTATAGGGGAGGAAAATGAAGAAATAATACAAATGTGTGGTGTCTACCCACCCACCCACCCAAAAAAAGGGAAAGGAAAGGAACTTCATTGCTGGGTAATTGCATGGAAAAGGCTACATGAAACCTCACTGCCTGGTTTGTCCCAACATTATAATGTTGTTATATTATAATGAAAAAAAATTGTGTTGTAACACAATCAACATTACACTTTAAAAAATTAGTGGATTGCTCAGGGGACAACCTGAGGAGGGGTGAACATGCAACACTAATGACACAAAAGGGTGGCAGGAAACAAAATCTGAAATCAGGAATTCCTCACTGGAAAACTGCATGTTCAGATCCTAAGGGGGGGGGGGAATGTGGAAGAAGTGGGTTTAGAAAATGCAGGGTAACTGGACACTAAATTCAGATCCATTCCTGGGGAGGCAAAAAGTTGTGTGGAAAGTTTTACAAACTTTGATTATTTAAGAATGCCAATGCGGAGGTTTGCAGTCGTGCGGAAACAGTCAAAGAGTATAGCTGCACCTGAAAGACTAACAATTTTATTCTGCATAAGCTTGCTCTTCAGATGCATGAATTTTTATATAGAATTTTTATATTACAAATTATTGGAGGTGGTTTAGAGTTATAAAAGAATGGGATTTATTTAGAAAATGTATATGCTCAAGATGGTCCACAACAGCAGGAAAACCCCCCATCAATAATGAACAAGTCATAAAATTGTCAGGGCATAAAACAGCATTCAGCAGCTTAAAATGACATTCATAAAACCATCCTCAATCTAGAACAGACCATAAAAATAATTTTAAAAGATGTAACCTTTTAATTAAAAGCCTGGGTGATAAAGAAATGTTTGGCCTCACCCCTAAAGGAGAGCATGGAAGGCCAGAAGAGCATCAGCATGGAAGGCCAGAAGAGCATCATGGAGAAAGGCATTCCAAAGGCAAGGCACCACTACTGAAAAAGGCACTGAGTTTTGGTGGTTCCGTTCTTACTTGACTGACCAATTCCAGAAAGAAGTGCTTGGCAGTGTGGCATTTATGCTATGGGGCCCTGCAGGATTCCATCTTGCCTCTTGTACTGTTTAACATCTACAAAACACTGCTGGGAGAGATCTTTTGGGGATCTGAAGTAAGATGTTACCATATGTGGATGACTCCCAGCTTTGTTTCTACTTAACAGTTGAGTCAAGTGGGTCTCTGAAAACCCTGAATAGGTAACCTAAAGGCCAAACTAGAAGTGATGGTGTCCGTGGGTCCAACTGGTGGATGCCACTGTCATTTTATAGTCTAATGAGTCAATAAAAAATGCTACAGGGGCCCAATTTTGACCAGGCCAGCAGTGTGGTGGGATGAGGCACTGTTTTTTCTCCCCTTGCATCTTTTCAAGTGCCTTAACAAGAATTTGTCATCCTGCTGCACCACTGGCCTAATTGCAGCATCTTTAAATCATCTCATTATGCTTTAAAACTGTGGTGGTGTCCACAGGTCAGATCCAGGGATGCCATCATGTCTAATTTGGCCGTAAGAGAAGGTAATGAGCCAATAAACTGCAGCTCAGTATAGAAAAGATTGTAATGTTGTTTGTTAAAAAAGAATCTATGTAGAGACGATGGACTCAGCCTTTCCTGGAGGGGGTTATGTTACCCCTGAAGGAGCAGGTTTGTACCTTGGGGGTGCTTCTAGATCCTGTCCTACGGTTGGAGGCTCAGGTCATCTCCATGACACATATTAGTTTTGGCTGATATGCCAGCTATGACTGGTTCTCAAAAAGCGTGATCTGGACAAGGTGATCCATGCTCTGATCATATCCAAGTTAGATTACTGTAATGTACTTTATGTAGAGCTGCTTTGGAAAATGCTCCAGAAACTTCAGCTGGTCCAAAATGTGGTAGCTGGCAATGCTGTCTATCCTGGAAACTTCTGTATAAAATGTCCAGCATTCAGCAACAGTAGCCTACTTCCCATCTAGTCTATGTTATCCAAGGAATACACAGAAACCATAACATATCCAAGGGGATGGAGGATTAGGATTTTTTTATAACTCTGTAAATTTCCATATTATTTTTTACCCATGCCTAAATACTGCTAATCATCTCTGCCTTTTCAGTTACTGAAGTACCCTGAAGCAGCATGTCTTTACAGTGCTGAAATTTTCATTGTTCTTATACAGAAGTTCTTCCACATCAAGGAAGCTGCTAAACTTTTCCATATGTATTAAAAAAATTAACAACATGAAGATTCCTTAAAAACAATAGACTGCTCTTTAAAATACAGCCCTCCATTTTACAAACAATTTAAAATTAGAAAACCTGATTCGTTCACATGTACATAAAATTGTTATTAATATAAGATTTTTATTATATTTATTTTGCAATTTTAGATTCAATATGGAGAAAAATACTGCATTGAAACAAGACTGTAGATTGAATTTAGGAAAGCGGAAGCCAATTGCTGAGCTGTAGGCTTCAATTTAATCAGGACATAACTACTATTGTAATAACAGTTTATTTATCATTTCTTTGGAATAGTATTAGCAGCACAGCTCCCCCTAGAGGTAGCATCTTTACACTGTTTGACAGAAGGAAACAGCTTTGTAACATCAAAAATTCCTTTTAATTTAGAGGGAAAATATTGTTCTGAAGTATCTGAACAGATTACATTAGTCTTTCAGTCAAAATAGACTGCCCAGTTATTCTAACTGTGTCAAACTGCATCACAAAATGGTACAAATGTAAGGTCTTGGAAGCCATTTCAACTTCTTAACCATCTCTATTTTCCCTGGCTATCTTTTGAAATAAATACTTACGTTTCTTGAAGCCTTTTAGCAAGCTGAACTTCTTGTGCTAAATAGGATGCCATCGTTGGTCATATGACTAATGACTCGGTTTGACTACTCTAGTAAGGAAAAACAGAACGGAGCAAAAGTTGTTTCTTCAAAGTCAAACACAGATTTTTGACAATGGTTATTAATTTACTTTTGGCTCAATATGACCAGATTACTTGTCATAAACACAGATGAAAGGCTGAAGTATGCCTATTTGATTTTACAGCAAAATCTCCAGTTAACTTTCTCCTGCTTGTTTGTCTTGATCCATTATCAAACAAAACAAGGAAGAACTGTAGGGTCCACCCTAAAAAGAAAAATTAAAAGCACTGTACCCTGAGATAATGGAACTATATCAAGCCACCAATGTGAGTGTTAAATGGGGGGTGGGGGGAATGGCAAAACCGGCAAGAAACTGGCCTTAAGGAATCCTTACACAGAAAAACTACACTGGTGAGGTTCAAAACAGAGTAGGGTACAAGCCTGAACACACCCAAGTATTATGATGAAATTTGATGGGATAACAACAAACCAGAATTCCATAAGAGGAAGTCCTACTTTGTTCTTGCTGCCTTGTAATCTAAAGCCCTTTTCACAACATCAGTTTTCAGTGCAAAAAAATGTCCAATTGCATCTCATATACTCACACTATCCAGCTGAGTCTCTGAAACCTCGTTCTGCATCAGCTGAACATTCTACCCAAGATGTGTTGTATTATTTTGGCTGGTAATAATTTGTGTATGTTTGTGTTTGGGGATTTTTCTATGGAGTAATGACTTTGTCTTCAATCTCTCTCCACATTTCAGTTTTGAGTTTAACTGTGTTTGCTGTTTTATATTATATTTATTTTAAATATGCTATAAACTGCATTGAGAACCATTGATTAATTAGCAGGTGTAAATACAGCAAATAAATATCTTTCTGCTGCTATAGAAATGTAATGTTTATTCAGCACTCAGCCAGCAACATTTGCCTACTGGAAAATGGCAAAAAATACCCCACAGCATGTCCACTGCTTTTGATTGCCATGTTTAACATGATTACTCGAATGTCACAAGCTCCTAATAGAAATCGCTTAACAGATCGCCATTGCTGAGCTTCATAATGGTCCCATCTTCCATCTCCACACTACTATGCACCTCTAATCACCTTCCTCTCAGCTCAACTCTGTGACAGAAATTAGGTTGAGATATAGGGGATCTGAACTCAAATCTTCTTGGTCCAAGCTCAGTTCTATGCCACACTGGCTCCTTTTTGACAAGTGTGTGCTTCTCTACTGCATAGCTCCAGAAACCTTACTTCTTTTTATAATGGCAAACACTAGCAATATCCTGAGTGCAATGCCTTACAAAGAGCCTTTAAATTTGTTTCAGCTCCAATGCAGCTTTTGGAGACCAAAAACTTGATGTCTGGGTAATGCTTACTCAGTTTCACTGCTGGTCCATTTACCCTGAACAGACCTAAAACTGACTATGACCTAAGGACTTGGATAGTTACTTTCTCAACTTATTATTTTATCCTACTCTTAAAACTTAAACAATTTTTTAAAATTCAGCACTTTTAATCTGCAGATGTGCTGTGTTTCTCTTTTCCTGTATTGCAGTGTACTTTTTATTTATTTGGTACAAAATTTTTACCCAATCCAGAAGCTTCAATGGGGGTAAAGAGAAATGCTGTTATCCCTATGGAAATACACAATGGATAGGACATGCATGTGGGACAGGAGGGTCTTTAGGAAATACTGAACAAAAATGTACTTCAGACATGGAGTAATGCCGAATCCAATTTTAGTCACTTTGGAAATGCACAAAAATAAGCATTATATTTATTGTATGAGCAGTATTTATTAAAAGATGTGTACCCTGCTCTTCCATAAAGTTTGTGGCAGTTACTACTTCCTAGCATGTAGTTTCTGACATCCTATGGGCATGCTTCCTACAGAAAACATAATACAGATAGTCAACATTCACATTCAGATGCACACTATCCCATTTTTATGCCACCCTTTCTCCAAAAAAGTCAGGACAGCATTTGCTAGTTTCTCATCCAAATAGGATCCACAAAGGGATACATGAACTAGAGACTGCTTCTGCACACAGATTTCCTTAAACTATCTAGTGTATACCTACAGTTTACTAGTGTAGGACCTACGTGAAGGCTGCTGTTCTCGTTATTCTGCTTTAAAGAGAAAAGCAGAGGAGCAAAACTATTTTCCTGAAGTGGAATGGCTTGATCAGTGTGAATGTATGAATTACTCAGCAATCTCTGTTGTGCACTTTACTGGTATGCAAGGAAATTTTTATGATTAAGTGAATACATCTTAAGGCAAAGGGCTTTCCATGGTTAATTGAGTAGGAGCCGCCGCCCCACTATTCCACCATTGTCATGGTTCCTTAAAGGATGTACCGACGAGGCCCTGAGCAAGAACCTGGACAACGTAAACAAGATCCAATAAGCCGTCACCATTGGGCATAAATATCATGGGAGTACCACCTGGAACTGTGTTGATTCTATCCTGGACGTATGAGATTAGTAATTGACTGAGCACCATTGTTTTAAGTGTTGGATGTTTTTATTATGTTTTATATGTTTTTAATTATGGCACGGCTAATTACCCTGCCCTTGTTAGCAGCCCTGAGCCCACTGGGGAGGGCAGGATAGAAATGTGAAAACTAACTAACTAAATAAATAATCTGGGATTCATGTCACTTATTCTCCTGCACAGAATAGAGGCATTCCTCAGGTTAAAACAAAAGTAACAAAAGAAATGCATTCAGTACTTCAATATATTTTGAATTTATTTCTGGTGTATAATGTGTGTCAGTATTGCTTTGCTACATGCTTGAACATGTTGCGTTCAAATGTGCAATTGTTAACCGCATATGCATACTTTGATGTACTTTGGTTATTTCTGGTGCAACTCATTCAACCCTGCAACAGTGCAGGTCATTTGGGAACATAATTGAAGAATTTTTTGGTTCCCATATCCCAACTAAAGTGCAAAAGATTCAGATTTCTCCAGCTTTTAGGGACTGTGCCTGACTTGAGTATCCATATTTAGTATGTGTGACATTTGCTTCTTCCCAAAGTTTTGCCAAAACAGAGATGGCACTTTTTAGACACCATTGTCACTTGGCATCAAGACATTCAAACAAGAATAATTTCCCCAGAGAGTCACTCTCTTATTCTCTTATCCACTAAAACTGAACAAGCCCCTCCAACTTTGCTCCAAAGACAGAGGACAGAGATGGAGGGCATGCAGGTGAATCACTATACCACCAAACTGGTCCATGCTCCATGTTATATCAGATTTGCCACAGTCTCTGATACAACAAGTGATGCACGTACCTAATTTGGAGCATTTTGTTCCCCTCTGAGGAAGTCTGTTTAGGAATAATGTCTCCCGTCTCAGATGTGTGATTTATGAAGCATCATAAGTTATACGACAATGAGGGTGGATGAGACACATACATATCTGATAGCTAAAGTACTGTGAACTGCACGGGGGGGGGGAGCGTTAGAAATCTTATTTTAAAGTACTGTAAACTACTTATGGATCCTATGGAATAAAAGCAGGTTAAAAATCAAATAAATGAAGGCCAACCTCCAGGCTGGGAATAGGACAGCAACACAAGCAGGCTTACTTATTTACTATATTTGCAGTCTGTCTTTCTCACTGAATCGCAAAGCTGACCACACAGCGTAAACCGATAACAGTCCATACAGACAGACATCTCATAAGCACAGTGCAGGGTAATACAATCAACAGGAGGAGACACTGAACGAGCAATGGGCTACGATTTGTAGAAGCTGAGAGGCGAAGCACCGCAGAGCCATTTTGAGACCAGACACAACTGGTACAAAAAAGAAGAAGTTCGGGCTGAAAAGTCTGACATATGTGGTTCAAGGTTGCAAAATGTGACAGGGAAACCGCAGCCAAGATGCGGCGAGTAGCCGTGCCGCCACCATTTCCCCTTCCCTGTGGGAGGAGACGTCTTATTTCTAGTTCCTTCCTGCGTAGGCATTAACCACTCCCATCGCTCATGCCTGACACCTCTCCTCCTAAGAGGCACATCCACGGCTCCTTAACCCCACACTTCACTCCCTCTCTCTCTCCCCACTCCGCTAACGAGTCTGAAAATTCCGCTCCTCGCGCCTTCCTTTTAACGCTTTGCGGACATACCACTGCGCGACCGAAGGGGAAGCCGTTTCAGGTGATCTAACGGCCACTCTGAAAATGAACAGGAGAGGGAGACGGGCGCGCAGAAGCCCCCATCCACATGAAGTGCTGAATGTGTCATTTATGGGCGATGCCATAAGAAGGGGGGAGTCGCAGCACCCAACCGGTGGGGCAACGGGACCCTGCCACGCCATGAAGGGAAGCTAACCCTCACGTATTAACCTCTTCGCCCGGGGGGGGGGAGCGCGCATTTATCGGCAGAGTGGAACTACCTCCATCCTTCCTCCTCCTTTATTTTCCCCCTGTCCGGTCCCGTTAATCCACAACTGCTATGAAGCCAGATCAACGGCCACTGCGCCTCACCGGCTACTATCGCGTAACTATAGAAAAGCAGGAAGAGCTAGAGGTTGAGGAATGAAACGGTGTGATTGGTCTAT